GGCCCTGGGGTATCCTTAGCAGCCAAGTCTGGGGTGCTCTCCCTTCAAGATTAATCCCAGACACTGCGAGTTTCTCACAAAGCGAGTCCCTGCCTGGCTGGCTCTGGACAAGTCCCCACTGGTCCCCTGCTACTCCTGGGTAGATGACGGTAGAGGCTGGTCAGTACCGGTGAGGCGGAAATGGTAACACATACAGTGGACAGTTCCTGGGCCAGACCTGGGCCTTTTCCTGGGGCTTCTGGACTTGGACCTGGAGGCCCCTTGCACAATGGCAGGGGATAGAGGCAGAGTCCAGGCTGCTAGACTGGCTGGTTCTACTGGTCCTGGAAACCTAGCTGCCCACCATGTTCCCCACGGTAGATCCCACAGCTAGCCGGCTAGCTTCTGAGAGTTTCCTCTTTCTCCCAGAAACATTTGGGTATTTTTCTGCAACTGAGACCCAGGGGAGTCTGGATGAACGAGGGCCAGAGGATTGCTCCATAGCTATTCCCCAGCCTGGCTCCTGCCTGGCTCATCGGTGGGAGGAAGGGACCCCTTTCTTTTTCTTGTGACGTTTCCTGGGAGAAATGAGGTCCAATTAGTGATCATAACTTGACACTTGGGTATTGGGGCAATTACAACACTCTTTGATATTAAAAAAAAAAAACCCAAATAGCTTTTTTTTATGTATTGAGAAGAGAGGCTGAGTGAGTCAACTATTCAGCCTATGATGAAAATACTGAACAAACCGCCCAAAACCAGAGGGAGATTTTCAGCCTCTAGAACAATAACAAAAAGTCACACATGATACTTCAGGACACCCTGGAGTCATGCTATGATTTTTTTCCTCCCCTTCCTGGTTGTCCTTGTGATGACCAGATGTCACACATGTCCGATATTTGGAACTCGTGCATGTCTTGCTTTGGCAGTGGATATTGTTGGGGGGTGACATCAAACAGCTAGCTTCAGTGACTGCTGGGGGCTGTGCAAGTTTAGTTTACCTTGCAACTTTACCTGCTGGATGTAATGATGGCGGGGAACGGAACGGGTGGGGGGGGGGTTGAGGAGTGAGTCACATTTTCTAGCGCCACGTCTTTTTGTTTCTGTGCTTACTAGGAGCCACACCCTTTAGTTGTGGTGCTCACACACACACTGGCTGGGGTGTGCCTGGACACTGCTCGTCGTCATGCTGGGGATCAGAGGGGAGAGCTGCCAGCTCTCCAGCGGGGCCATCCAAGCCATCCAGGGATGGGACCTGCAGCTCATGCTCACAGGACATGCGCTCCAAGTCACGGGGCTGTCCTCTGGGCCCAGAGCCACCTTGATTTGGAAATAGGATTTCATTTGCATTTCTTCCTGATGTTCCAAGTTTTCCTCATTTTATTTTTTTTTCAAGCGGCTCCAAAGAATTCTATTGTAATCCTGTAACTATAGGTAATAACATATGTGGGATATACCATGAAAATTATGTCATTGCTGTCCATAGTTTATATTAAGTATTATGATATATTTGGGGAAAGACATCTTTTTTTAAAGTGGAAGAATAATGCAATTTATTCAGCTATTGATTAAGCTGATTGAATTAGGCATGAACTCCATATTACTTTCTGTTTAAAAATGTTTTTAATTGAATATCCATGAGATAGACCATTACAGACCTGTTCACAGTTGGGGTTCGGTCATACAATGATCCAGCACCCATCCCTCCACCAGTGTACATTTCCCACCACCAATGTCCCCTGTTTCCCTACCACCATCCTCTAACACCCCACCACTCCACCCTCAGCCTCCCTCTATGGGAGGTACTTTCCTTCTTTTTTTTTTTTTTTATTTTTTTTATTTTTTATTTATTTATTTATTGAATCACTGTGGGAAAGGTTACAAAGCTTTCAGGTTTATGTCTCAGTCATGCAAATATCAAATACATTTCCCTTTACCAATACTTATTTTTTACCATGAAGAACCCCAATAAAACCCCACCCCCCACCCCTCCCCGTCCCTGGTACTTTCCTTCTTGTTCTCTCTCTTTTTCCTTTTGTGCATCTGGTTTGCAATACAGGTGCTAAGAGGTCATGGTGTTTGCTCAGGGCATTCGGCATTTTTATTGGTTTTCCTCATTTTAGACACAACACTGAGTTTACTCAATTTTGCATAATACTTTATTTTTTAAGAAGATTTTAATTTTTCCCCCAAGAATTGCTTTAGCTATCTGTGGGGGCTTGTTGTTCCATATGATTTCAGGAGTATTTGATCAAAAAATGAAACAAATAAAATTATAAATTTTTTTTAAAAAGGGAAGATTTTAATTTTGGAAGAGTTGTATATTTCCAGTAAAATGATGAAGCCATGGGGAGTTTCAATACGCTTCCAGTGTCCTTTTTTTTTTTTTTTGCTTTTTGGGTCACACCCGGCAATGCACAGGGGTTATTCCTGGCTCTGCACTCAGGAATTACTCCTGGCGGCACTCAGGGGACGATATGGGATGCTGGGAATCGAACACAGGTCAGCCACGCAAAAGGCAAACGCCCTACCCGCTGTGCTATTGCTCCAGCCCCTCCAGTGTCCTTCTTAATATTATTAACATTTTACATGCATGTGGTACATTTTTTTCCACAGAGTCTCCTACCCACATGCCAGGCTGTCTTCACCGGGGCCCCTTGGAGGGGGGCGGATTGAGTTTCCCTCCCTACCCCAAGCAGAGCCCTGGCAGCCGAAGAACTCCAATATCCAGTCACAGCCAAGCTCAAGGCCACACGCTTGGATGAGCCTCATGCAGGAAGGAATTGGCAGAGGAACCCAGGTGCATGGGCCCCGGGGCTGAGATCTCCAAGGCTGCTCGGATCAGGACTGGGCCTCCTCTACCCAGATCCCCCATTTTTCCAGTAGCTAGGCAGTCACACCCACAAACTACCCCATTGCCATGAAATCCAATCAACGGACCAAGATCCAGAGACTATAAAACAAAGGTCCCAGAAGCACGTGGCCGCATATGACCTCTTATAGTCTAGTTCTCCTTCTCAGAGAACTGGACAAGTTACTGAGTGTATCCTGCCCACACAGCAGATCCTGGAAAGCTCCTGTGGCATACTCAATATGTCATAAACACTAACAATGATGTGTCTCATTCTCCTGACCCCTGAAAGAGCCTCCAATGCGGCACCATTGGGAAGGACGAGAAAGGAGAGGCTGCTAAAGTCTCAGGGCAGGGATGAATGCAGACATTACTGGTGCCTGCTCGAGCAAATCTATGAATAACGGGATGACAGTGATGCAGTGGTACATTTTTCAGAACGGATCAAGCAATCTGACACAGCATTATCAACAACCGTCCAGATTTCATTAGTCTTTGTGTTTTGTTTTTGTGGTGGTGCTGGGAATGAAACCCAGAGCCTCACATATGTAAGGCAAGTGCCACACCACTAAGCCACATTCTTGGCCCCCAGAATTAGCCTTTACTTAGGACCCCATCTGGGATACCAACTCACAGTTAACTGTTATGTCTATTTAGGCTCTCTGGTAACTTTTTAAGATCTTGTTTTTACAACATAACATGAGGCTGACACCTAAGGATACATGGGACAGGAGGATTGCTCCATAGCTGGAAGCCTGCCTCATGAGCAAAGGGGAGAAGGCAGCTGGAATAGAGAAGGGATCACTAAGAAAACGATGGCTGGATGAATGGGTCGAGATAGGAGATGTGTGCAGAAAGTAGATAAAGGACCAAACATGATGGCCTCTCAGTAGCTATATAGCAAAACAATGCCCCAAAGTAGAGAGAGTATGGGGAAAATCGTCTGCCATGGAGGCAGGGGGAGGGTGGAAAAGGGGGGGGGTATACCGGGGATATTGGTGGTGGGGAATGTGCACTGGTGGAGGGATGGGTGTTTGATCACTGTGTGATTGTGACCAAACATGAAAGCTTGTAACTATCTCATGGTGATTCAATAAAATCAAAAAAATAAAATTTAAAAAAATTTTGCCTTAAAAAAATCTTGTTTTTAATATATTTAAGTAAATACTTGCATCTATTGACATTTTATTACATATTTTATGTTCAAATGATTCTTGTTTAGTATTTTGATTTTACAAATTTACATAGTTTACTTGACTCAAAAATGATTAATAATTTTTAAAATTTGAATTCTAGGAAATGGTCTCCAAAGATTGCTAATATCATAAATTATGAACATCAATAAAACACTTGTGCCAGCCCAAGTGTTTATGATAAATCCTGGACATCCAGCGTCATGGTTTCTCTTCCCATAGAGGACAGCACTCAGAGTGGAGCCTTCTCTGAAGCCGAGGTGGGAGGGCCCAGTATGGACAACGTTGAGTTAGCACAAGTGGCAGAACCGTCCAGAACCATGCAAGAGGCAACAGAAGGCACGTGGGCAGCACCTAAAAACCCCGGTCCCATCATCCAATGCCATCAAGTGTGCCCCCGTACCTCTGCTAAACCCCACAGCTGGAGACAGACCCAGATGCTTTTGTTCTGTGTCCATCACCCAAGAGCTGTTTTATAAAGATGACTTTGACTCAAGGTACCTCTTCTTAGAGAAGTCATTGGTTTCTCCTTCCCCAATGCCTTGCTCATTGCTTGGACCAAGGAAGCTCTTAGTAGACCTAGGAGCTGTTACATTTGTACAAGCAAAGTCGAGTTCCTGAAGGAAATTGGTACCGTTGGTAGGAAAAAGCCATCAATCCCTAGGCCTTTGGCATCAATGAGAATCAAGGCACCACCGGTGGTATGGGAGGAAGAGCGGAGCAGCCACCCAGCCTACAGTGTGAGAAGGAAGGTGGGCGTGAGAGTGAAGAAGACAGCAGAGGAGAGCAGCCAGGAAGCTGTGCTGTGAGTCAGCCGGAGAAAGGCTTCCATGGAAAGACCACCTCCACGCTTCCGGGGCCAGGAATCATTAGCACTGGAAACAACAATTAGGAGTTTCCTAGTCGATAGGTTAAATTTGACCACTTCCTGGTTTTGTAAATAAAGTTTTATTTATTGAAACACAATCATACCCGCTTACTTTTGCACTGAATATGACTGTTTTCTCAAAGTTAAATAGCTGAAGTAAAGGTAGTATTATCCACAAAGCAGTATTATCTTTTTTTTTTTAACAAACAGAATTGGTTGGTCCTTACTCTATTAAATGCTTATAACAGTTGTCAATTAATCATGTAGGAAAAAAATTACAAATTGATATGCTTTCCATTAGTCTAAGGTTTAAAATATGAGTGTCTTTGTTCAAGTATCAATGTATATTTATATGTATGTAATTCCATGCATCAAACAATAAGCAATAATTAACAAGAAAATATAGCATTTTGTATCTTTTCCAAAATATGTGCAATTAATATGCATGTAAATATATTTTAACTAAATGCTATTAATCAGAAAAAAATTCGGAGTTTCATCACAAGTATGTGACTGACATTCAAATCGATGGACAATAGCAAGTCGTTGATGCTTGACGCTCAAATCACTGCAACTTCTCGGCTATCCTGGAAGTCCCCAGAGCAGGTCACCGTCACTCGGCTTCATTTTGTCCATAGTTCAGGGCATACTCGAAGTCTTTAAAGCTGACATGACCATCTGAGTCTTGATCTACTTCCCTGGAAAAATGAAAACAGAAAGACGTGTATAAGAGTACATCAGCATTGCTGCTTCCTTGCATGTTTAGGCGAGAGGCACTTTTTTGTCTTTGTTATTGGGAGGAGTTCTGATCTCCGTCAACGCTCAAGAATCAGGGATGCTGTCTCATTTGCCAAGGCGTGAAAAATCAGATGGGCTGGACACGTAATGAGGTTTACAGACAACCGCTGGACTAGAGCCATTACTGACTGGATTCCATGGGACGTCAAAAGATCGCGTGGATGCCCACCTACAAGATGGTCAGACTTCTTCGTCAAGACCCTGAATGATCGGTTTGAGGCTCTGCATGTTCCTAGAACGAACAGATGCGATTGGGCTACGCTAGCACGCAACAGGGATGAATGGAGACGTTACTGGCACCCGCTCGAGTAAATCGATGAATAATGGGGGATCAAGTGATCAAGTTATTGGGGGGCGGGTGGGGGACACACTTGGTGGTGCTCAGCAGCAATTCCTAGATCAACGCTCTGGAGTTGCTCCCAGCAAAACTCAGGACCATATGGTGCCAGGGATCAAACCCAGGCCTCTTGCATGAAAGTATATGCTTGGCCCCCTGAGCCATCTCCATCCCACGGAGGCACCTGTTTTAAGGGGGAAAAATCAATGTCTATTTCATTCTTAGACTGATATTATTGGATGGGAAGGACAGGAATCTATCTGTTGAGACCCTCAGAAACAATACGTTCAACACATCTGAAAGAGCGAAGCCAATTACACAGATCATAGAAAAGCAGGCTTGATCCTTCTGTGATCTATTGATAAATAACTGTGCCTGAATGTGACAGAAATGTGTAGTCAACAACATCCGGAGAATAACTAATAGTGACGGGAACAGTAATTGCCCTTCTCCATCACACTGACTCCACGTTCCGTCTCAGGGAATTTGGGTCCTGCAGCTCCGAGGGGTCCATTTAGAAGCAGAGATGATGAATTAAAAATATTCACCAGCTTCTGAAGATCATGCTGCTTAGGTTTAACACTCAAAGTGGTGTCATTAGACCCCTCCCCGCCAAACCAGGGCTCCGGACTGCCCTTTGGACACAGGATGGTGGGGTGGGGTGAAATACTGCCACCCCCGCGAGCTTGACTCCTGAATTTCTCACTAGCTTCCTTCGCAGCCTCGGCAGCTCAGCTAAATCCTCACAAACACTGATCGGCTTTTCTGAGTGAAGACGTGAGCTTCTGGGAGGCTCATGGAGAATGTGGGAGCAAACATGGGCTGCTCCTGTGTGTCCACAGAGCCACTGAGATGGGGCGGGCTCCCCGAACAGAGGCTGGACAAATGCACCACAACCAGATAATGCATCAGAAGGACAAAGTGACATGTTCAACTCTTACCAGCCAAAGTCAAGGTCCCTTATGGGGTGCCTTTGCCCATTTTCCTACCTCCGTCTCTCAGGGCACCTTTCCGTGGGTACAGAGGACACATTCCTGTAAATTTACCAGGTGTCCTGGTAATTGAAAAATGTTGCCAGATATTGCAGTAACTTGAGATTATCCCCCACTTCTTTCTGGAGCTTCATCTCACACCAAGCTACATTTTTTTTTGAAAGGTTTTCTGGGTCCTTGTTGCTGGAAGTTTATATGCTGGCTTTTAATAAATGTTTAATGGATGACATTAAAATAAAAACGCATTAATACACAACAGGCCTGAAGGCTCTGAGGAATCCCCAAAGCCTGATCCAGCCCAACAACAAAGGAGGATGGGGTAGACAATGTATTTTTGTCAACTGCTATCCCTCTTATCTTAAATTTTAATTGCATTTATGAAGAATCCACACGGATCCATCCCAGTTGTCCAAACAAAACAGGAAAGATAGTTTACACAAATTTTCAAAAAGAAAGAAAGCATACTGGACAGGATAAAGTACAACAAGTGGTCACAATTTGTCACGGGAGGTTGCAGGGGGGAACACAACCTAACACAATGCCTGGCGTGCCTTTCACGGGCTTCTGGGGTTGCTGCAAATTGTATTTTGTTGAAACAACAGATGGTATCAAGCATGACACGAGGCTTTTTAAAGCAAGGATTGGCCCAAGTAACAGAGCCACTAATCACTGTAATAGTTTTAAAGCAGGCTTTTAAAATATTGAATTCTAAAATAAACTTTCTGAATATTTCATGCCCAAGTCTCTGAAGTCGGTAATGGTTCTGGATAGAGTGATGATCATTTTTCATTCTTTTGAAGTAGAGAAAATCCCTACTTCTTGGCCCCAGGGCGAAACCATGTTGCAGTGTGTTGGTGTAAAATGATCACAGGCTGTAGAGACCATGCTTCTCGTTCCTTCTTTGGGTAAAACTGACATGATGCTTTCATACTCTATAGGACCCGACACACAATGGCGGATGTCTTCAGAGGGATTAACAATAATCTGCATCACAGGTTGCTGATGACAAAAAAGAAACCATCCCTTGTATTAAATTTGATCATTGCTGATTCTCAACATTGCCTAAGTATTTTTCCCCCTAAGGAATTGGATTAGATAGATGGTCTTTTCCACCCCCCCCCCCCCCTTTCCTCTCTGAACTGACAGGGCTGAACTATAAGTCTCAGAGGGTGAGTTAACTAGATAACCTCGAAAAGGAATGTTTAGAATAAACTACTTCTAGGAGCATTCGAAGAGGCTGCATGTTTATTCACTTAGTTGCTGATGCTTAGAGAAAAGGGGGCCCTTCGCTTCATTTTCTCAGCAAGTAACCCTTATTGTAATTGCATTAACTTTTTGTTTCCCTTGATGTCTTTGCCAGAGCTTCCCATCATAAAAGGTGTGTGTGTGTGTGTGTGTGTGTGTGTGTGTGTGTGTGTGTGTAAGAGAAAGAGAGAGAGAGAGAGAGAGAGAGAGAGAGAGAGAGAGAGAGAGAGAGAGAGAGAGAGAGAGAGGGAGGGAGGAGAGAGAATTGTCTGCCATAGAGGCAGGTTAGGAGTGGTGATGGAGGGAAACTGAGGAACTGGGGACCCTGGTGGTGGGAAATGTACACTGGTGGAGGTATGGGTGTTGGAACACCGTATGACTGAAACTTAATCATAAACAGCTTTGTAAAGGTCTATCTCACAGTGATTCAATAGAAAATTCTTTAAAAATTTTAAATGAAGTAAAAAGGTGTTCAGGAGAACCAAGATGAGCTAAAATGGAAAGACTGATTCTGGAGGTATAAAGCAGCACTTGACTTCTGTATAGAATGAGGCCTGCTTCTGCTGCTGGGGCTGTTTTTGTTTAGAATGAAACATTTGTCCTCCAATGCCTCACCAAAGAAAAAGAAGTAGATGTCTATTAGACTTGGCTGTCTCAACGGGGGTGAAAAGAAAATGTGCATTTCAGAGCCATAACTTAAAAAGGCAAAAAGAGCTACAGGTTTTCACTGCAGCTGGAACTATTCTGAAGAAGGCAGTTTCATAGAGCCCCCCACTCACACATGTGGGGGGGGGGAGGGTAAGGTGTTGAGGGCCGGACTGGCAGTGTGCTTGGGGATGAAGACAGCAGGCATAGGGTCCTGTTTCTGGACACAGACACTGGAAGGGATAGTTTGGTGTCCCCAACATGAGGTCAGTGCTGGAGCATCTCACCACCGTCCCTCTTCCTGATGAGAAACGGCCTTGGTTGCGCTATGTCGCATGACTCGCCCACACTGGAGTGAATGAGACGGCAGGGTCAGAGCAGCAGAGGCTGCAGCTGACATTCTGAAGTACCTCCTAGCTCCAAGGAGGCCAGGGCTGGGGTGGCCACTAAAAGGAAGTCTTTCTCAGCACTGCTCTGTGGAGTCCAGAAGGTACAGCTTGCCCCGCAGGAGGCTGCGTCATCAATAGCCCTGCTTCAAATCCCTGGCAACAAAGAGCATCTCCACCAGTATCATTCCTAAGCACAGAGCCAGGAAGAGCCCTTGAGCACACCAGTGTGTCCCCTATACCCCAAATCAACAACTAACTCAAGGAATAAAAGGAGATACAAAAGGCACCGAGAAAGCACCACCAGGGAAGGAACAATGGTCAACTGCGGTCTCCAGGCACAATGGTATTTTCTGAAACACAGAAAAGCAGCAGGAGATGGCATGGAACAGGACTAGAAAATGGGGTGGACTCACCTAAGGACAGTGGAAATAAGGGTCAGGATGACTGCCCCACGGCTTGGAAGCTGATCTCATGCGCTGGGGGGTATGGTAGCTGGGATGGAGAGAGGAGCACTTAGTAAATGGAGGTTGGAGGGCTCGCTTGGGATAGTGGGTGCATGCTGAAAGTAGACAATGGACCAAACATGATGGCCGCTTGATCCCTGTATTGCAAACACCCAAAAGGACAGGGAGAGTAAGAAGGAATGTGCCTGCCACAGAGGCAGGGGTTGGGAAGGGTGGGGGTGGTGGGAGGGATACTGGGGACATTGGGGGTGGGGAATGGGAACTGGTGGAGGGATGGGTACTTGAACACTGTATGACTGAAATGCAATCACTAAAGTTTATAAGTCTGTAACTGTATCTCATGGTGATTCATTAAAATTTAAAAAGAGAGAGAGAAAAACAAACATTGATTTAGGGCAGGACCACACTGAGTGATGCTCAGGGGCTACTCCTGGCTCTGAATGACCCCCAACAGTGCTCAGAGGGCTACATGTGGTACTTGGGACCAAGCAAGGGTTTTGGTGAACACAACTGTATGCAGGGCAAATGTCTCCTCAAAGGCAAGTATTTTACCATCTAGAATATCTCTCCAGCCCTAAATCAGTGTTTGTTTTATTTCATAACTTGAAATTTTTTTAAATAAACCGTGACTTTCATCACAGGTGAGGATTTGATCACTTGATCGCTTGACTTCCCGTTAATCGTCGATTTGCTCAAGCGGGTGCCAATAACGTCTCCATTTGTCCCTGTCACGTGCTAGTGTAGCCTAATGGCATCTGTTCATTCTAGGAACATGAAGAGCCTCAAACCAATCGTTCAGGATCTTGATGAGGAAGTCTGACCATCTGG